GATAAATACGTTGAAAATGACCAAGATTCTGCGTTGGAAATAGTTGAGAATAGAGGAGAGATTATGATTCCACAGTTAAAAATTGATGAAACTGTTCAAAATGTTAAAGAGATAGCGTTGAAATTTGTTGAAGAAATTACGGTATCACATTTAAAAAACGGCAAATGTGTAGAAAATGACCAAGATTCTGCGTTGAAAATAGTTGAAGATAGCGGAGAGATTATGATTCCACAGTCGGTTGAGGTCGATAATATTGAAAATACCAAGAATTCTGCCTTGGAATCAAATATTGATACTGAAAAAATTATGATACCACAGTCTAAAATGGATAAAAATGTTGAAAATGACCAAGATTCTGCGTTGGAGATAGTTGAAGATAGCGGAGAGATTATGATTCCACGGTCGATTGAGATCGAAAATATTGAAAATACCAAGAGTTCTGTCATGGAATTTAATATTAATGTCGGAGAAATTAATGATATAAAATCAGAAAAATATACAATTAATCAAGATAATAACGATTTTCAAGTTAATGAAATAAAATATACAAATATTAATGATACGAATCAACAACCCGAAATATTGGGCCATGTCTATATAGTACATAAAATTAGAAATCTTATTAATCCTGAAGATAAAGTGTTTAAAAATTCTATAATAAAAGATTTGACGACATATTTCTTAAATGATAATTTTCTATTCAAAGTCGATGCTTTGTGGAATACTACACAATCATATCTTGTTGGGGAGTTAATCATAAAGCTTCTAAATATGTTTAATGACAGGAAATATAATATGGCACTATTTTCAGGTTGTTTAATTTCCATTTTTCGTGAAATCGCTCATAAGTCTTCAATTCCTCCGTGTGAAAGAAAATTAAAATTGATATTACTTCTTGATGCTATTAAAAAATACGTTAAATTTTATGATAAAGAATTATGGAGAAGTTGGTTTTTGCCTAGTATATTCTTCGATTGGTGTTTTATCGTAGCCCACATCTTTATGAATACTAATAATGGTTTTATAATAGATCTAAATAATGAGTTGATCATTAGAAATGTAAAATTATACTATAAAATGGTTAAGCATAGAAAATATTTGTTTATTAAACAAAATTCTAAACTAAACACGTCACATAAGAAAAGTGGTATTTTCGAATTATCAAGAATTGATGACCTGTTGGAAATCGATGAGCTATATGCAATAAAAAGTGATAACAAAGTAATATCAAATAGCTCTATCAACATAACATCAAAAGAACCCAAACTTAAAACAAATGACAACTGTATAAAAACTATTAATCATGCTATTCCAGAAAATTCAGGAAAAGCATGTCCTGCTCCAGTTAACAAAGTAACATCAAATATCCCTATTAACATATCGTCTAAAGAACCCTTACACAAAAAACTCAAAACAAATGACAATTGTGTAAAAACTATTTATCATGCTACTCCAGAAAATGTAGAAAAAGCGTGTCCTGCTCTAGTTAACCAAGTCCTATCAAATATCTCTATTAACATACCATCCAAAGAATCCAAACACAAGAAACTCAAAACAAATAACAACTGTGTAAAAGCTATTAATCATGCTACTCCGGAAAATTTAGGAAAAGCATGTCCTGATCCAGTTAACAAAGTAACATCAAATATCTCTATTAACAAATCATCAAATGAACCCATACGCAAGAAACTCAAAACAAATGACAACTGTGTAAATACTATTAACCGTGCTACTCCGGAAAATGTAGAAAAAGTGTGTCATACTCCAGTTTATCCTAAAATATATGTTAATCCAATATATAATGTTTCAAACTCATTTGTTAAAAAATGTAATTGGTTTAATATTGATGTCAGTAATCTTAGAAAAAAATTGAATGCCACATTACCCAACGAAAGTATAGAAAGTTCCATTATTGTCCAAAATAATACTACAAATGTTGATAACAATATTCTACCATTAGTTGGTAAAAAAGGAAATGTAGCTTTAAAAAAAATGAACAAACCAACAAAAACAAAAAAATCCAAGATCACTTATAGTTCATCAATAGCTCCTATAAATTCAAGTTCAAAAACATCTCCAATATCAAGTCTAACAATCATACCTCAAAATTCAAGTTCATCAACATTCCACCAAAATTCAAATTCGTCAATAATTCCTCAAAATTTAAATTCATCAACATTCCTTCAAAATTCAAGTTCATTAACAATACCTCGATATTCAAGTTCATCAACACAACCTCAAAATTCACTTTCGTTAACAGTTCCTCAATATTTAAGTTCGTTAACAGTTCCTCAAAATTCAAGTTCGTTAACAATACCTCAATATTCAAGTTCATCAACATTACCCCAAAATTCATGTTCGTTAACAATACCTCAAAATTCAAATTCGTCAATAGTTCCTCAACATTTAAATTCATCAACATTCCTTCAAAATTCAAGTTCATCAACATTTCCTCAAGATTCACGTTCGTTAACAGTTCCTCAATATTTAAGTCCATATTATAATAATATTTCTACCGGATCTACTCAAGTTCCAATTAACTGCCAAATAGGTTCGTCAATTGCTAAACAAACTTCAAGTTCAATGAATACATATCTACCAGTTAATATAAATTCACAATTGTCAAAAACTACTCTACCTCCAGTATCTTCAAATAAATGGCCTCCAAATCTTTATCAACAATCGACTGCCATGAATTCACAATCTTTGAAAACAGCAAATTCGTGTCCATTAAATGTAACAAATACAACAAACATTCATAAAAATTTGTATAATGACCCTTCGTGCAATGAATGTGCTTACTTACAACCATACATGGATTCTACCTCATCGTATTTGCAGTCGTCATGTAATGAGAATAGTCTAATAATCAATGAACATTCTCAGCTTGTAAATTTACTTACACGTCCTACAAATCATGTACAACCAATACCGAAAGATACAATAAGAAATATTACAGCAACTATGGCATCAATTAATAACGCCTATATTCAAGATTTAAATAACAGATATAATGTTTATAATCATGGAAATAGTCTTTTGAACCAAAATAACCTACAAACTCATGAATATAATCCTCAGGTTTCACCAGATTTGCCTGATGCACAACTACCTAACATGCCAAATCACCTGGATTCTGATACGAGAAATAAAATGAAATCTGATTGGCACTACCCC